CTGCAAGGATCATTATTGGGGTCTTAGCTATTCAATTTATATCATTGATTTAAATGAGTGTAATGTATCCATGTTTAATGATACTATAAAATTCAGTGAGAAAGTACTTTGTTAGGAGCGCACAGAGCTGCAGGGGGCAGGTTACTGAGTGGTTAAGAGCGTAGCAGCTGGAATACAACATGGTAAGACATAAAATCATCCAGTTTAACATCATATTTTTAAAAGGTGGAAGGCAGCTAAATTCTGGTATTCAGGGTGATGTTGGGTCTTGGAACATAAATCACAAAGTTAACATGTAGGTATAGTGAGAAAAAAACCAAATCGTATAATAGCCTTTATTACAAAGAAAGGAAATACAAATTTAAAGACAGTTTTGGCCTCCTTAAGCAAGGAAAAATGGAGAAAGTGCAACAGGTGGAGGACTTTCATGGTGGGATTGAAGTAGAAGGGCAGCCATCATCTTATTGAATGTCAAGGGAGGCTCATAGGGCCCATATGGTCTACTCCATTTTCTGTTTCTTGCAATAACCTCCACTTCCATGTCACCAAAACTGGGAGCCAGGTGTTGGGCTGCTCTGTTATTTATCTAAAAGCCCAGTCCTTCATCTTCAGTTTCCACCTCCTTCACTACTGTCCCTTTCATCTCTTGCCACTTTAGCTCAGCAAGCTCTATTAGTAGATTGTAATTCATTTTGAGCAGTTTCTGAATTTTTGAATAATTGTCTCCATGCTCCCATTTGATTGACCTCGTCCCTCTGAATTCTGCTGCCATTGTTAGAACTCAGACAGATAGCCAGGCATCGAAGAAAAGAACACTGGACCCAAGTCTTTATACACTTAGAAACTTTCAATTACAGGCTAACACTTTATAACTTACATATTTGTAATCCTGGCAAAGTAGTAGCATCCCTACCCCTGGACGAGGAGGCCAGAGTTCAAGTCCCACCTGCTGCAGAGGGTTTGTGATAACAGGTTGATTAGAAAATGTCTCTATCAAGACCAGTTTCAGCCTGCACTGTATATATTAGCATAACTGAGTCCACATTTAATGCCCATCACTTGAATAAAGATTTTTCCAAATTAATATGTAGTTAACACCCATTTGCAGTGTTACACCTGAGCATATACAGATCAGTACCAAGAATTATGCATAATTCTATCAAGAATAGTATGGCCCAGAATACTGGGGACAGAAAGTAAAATTTATTTGCGCATTTCTAACCATTCAAGAGTAAACTGGATCTATAACTTTGTACAACAGTACACCTTTTAAGATTAAATTGGTGGATAAACTCAATAATGAGGTTAGATTGCACAGAAGTCATTCTGTGTGTTGTATTTTAAATATCTTTTGATTTTTCTTTTACTTCCAAGCTCTTCAAACCACATTATATTTGTTTGTCATTGCCACAACAGTGTCTCCTTTGGATAGCTTATAATTTTATGCAGCTTTACCAAAGTGGGAGAAAATTCTATAAATTCTATAAAAAAGAACATACAGGGGTTCAAGATGAGTTTTTTTTTTCCCTTTTTTGGCCTAATTGTAAAAAAGACCAGATGATATAGTCTTATGCTTGAATACTTGCATACTGTGCCCATTCAGTGACCTTGTGTTAATCCTTGATTCTGTGCCCATGTCAAGTTGGCACTGTTATCAGATGATTAAACTCTATCCAGTGATCTGCTTGTATGGGTAAGTGGCTCCAATGTGTGATCAAGTTGCATGCTAATGTCCGTGTTTTAGATTATTAAATCTACTTCCAATGTACAAAGATAAAAATAAATTTATAAATGTTGTTTTCTGCTTCCCGATACCTCTCCAGGTGTGATTTCAAAGGCAATGTTCCCCCTCTATGCAGTGACATTGTTCAGAAACGTGAGAAACTACTTGTACCTAGCAATTATTTTAGTGAACGAGTAGCCAAGATTGCACTAGGGCAGTGAAGTTAAATTGAAACTTCAGGCATATGAGGTCAATAAGCAAACTATCTTGTCAAGTTGTCACTTGTTAAGTCTTTGATATTTCCTAAAACAATATAGATACTTATTAAAGCTTTTCTTCTTAACAGTTCCCAGTGTGCCTCTGCTGAAACAGCATCTTTTTGTAGCGAGATAGATGATACCTTATGGTGTTATCTTTTAATGAAATATCAAACAAAGGCCATGAATCATGTGGAAGTAAAGAAGTAAAGGAGTTGAACAGGGAAGTTTCATGATTTCTTGGACACATTCATCCCAGAGCCAGCATCACTAAAAAATAAGGGTAATGTGGAAAATGTGCATTCCCCATGCAGATGGCCTAAAGGCCCTCCGCTTCTTCCTGCCCCGCAGGCCCGACCAGTCCCCCTCCACTGACACCCTCATCCGCTTAGCCGAACTCATCCTCACCCTCAACAACTTCTCTTTCAATTCCTCCCACTTCCTACAGACAAAAGGGATGGCCATGGGTACCCGCATGGGCCCAAGCTATGCCTGCCTCTTTGTAGGATACTTGGAACAATCCCTCTTCCAAAGCTACACTGGCCCTATTCCCCACCTCTTCCTCCGTTACATTGATGACTGTATCGGCGCCGCCTTGTGCTCCCACAAGGAGCTCGAACAGTTCATCCACTTCACTAACACCTTCCACCCCAACCTTAAGTTCACCTGGACCATCTCTGATACCTCTCTCTCCTTCCTGGACCTCTCTGTCTCCATCTCTGGCATCCACCTGGAAACCGATATCCATTTCAAACGTACCGACTCCCACAACTACCTATAATACACCTCCTCCCATCCACCTTCCTGCAAAAAGGCCATTCCCTATTCCCAATTCCTTCCCCTCTGCCGCATCTGCACCCGAGATGAGGCATTCCACTTCCGGACATCCCAGATGTCCTCTTTTTTTCAAGGACCGCAACTTCCCCTCCACAGTGGTCGAAAATGCCCTCGACCGTGTCTTCCACATTTCCCGCAACTCCTCCCTCACACCCCCTACCCGCAATAACAACCAAAACAGAATCCCCCTCGTCCTCACATAACACCCCACCAACCTCTGAATCCAACGCATCATCCTCCGACATTTCCGCCATCTGCAATCTGACCCCACTACCAAAGACATTTTTCCCTCCCCACCCTTATCTGCTTTCCGGAGGGACCACTCTCTCCGTGACTCCCTCGTCCGCTCCACACTCCCCTCCAGCCCCACCACTCCCGGCACTTTTCCCTGCAACCGAAGCAAGTGCTACACCTGCCCCTACACCTCCCCCCTCACCCCCATCCCAGGCCCTAAGAAGACCTTCCACATCAAAGAGATGTCCACCTGCACATCTGCTAATGTGGTATACTGTATCCGCTGTTCCCGTTGTGGCCTCCTCTACATCGGGGAAACCAAGCGGAGGCTTGGGAACCGCTTTGCGGAACACCTACGCTCAGTTCGCAACAAACAACTACACCTCCCAGTCGCGAACCATTTCAACTCCCCCTCCCACTCCCTGGACGACATGTCCATCCTGGGCCTCCTGCATTGCCACAATGACGCCACCCGAAAGCTGCAGGAACAGCATCTCATGTTTCGCTTGGGAACCCTGCAGCCCAAGGGTATCAATGTGGACTTCACAAGCTTCAAAATCTCCCCTCCCCCAAACGCATCCCAAAATCAGCCCAGCTAGTCCCTGCCTCCCTAACCATTCCTCCCACCTCAAGCCCCACCCCCATCTCCTACCCACTAACCTCATCCCACCTCCTTGACCTGTCCGTCCTCCCTGGACCGACCTATCCCCTCCCTAACTCCCCACCTACATTCACCTTCACTGGCTCCAACCCCGCCTCTTTAACCTGTCTGTCTCCTCTCCACCAATCTTCCCCTTTATCCATCTTCTTTCCGCCTCCGCCTCCCCCTCGCTGCCTATTTATTTCAGAATCCCCTTCCCCTCCCCCATTTCTGAAGAAGGGTCTCGACCTGAAACGTCAGCTTTCCTGCTCCTCTGATGCTGCTTGGCCTGCTGTGTTCATCCAGCTCTGCACCGTGTTATCTCAGATTCTCCAGCATCGGCAGTTCCTACTATCTCTGTAATGTGGAAAAGTCTGGATTGGAGTTGAGGATAATCAGGTCAGCCATGATCTCATTGAATGGTGAAGCAGACTCACAGGGCTGAATGGCCTAATTCTGCTAGTGACTTACAAGGGTGCTAAAATGTTTGATCTTTGGATAAAGGCAGAAAAATACCGCTTCATCAGGCATATCAGACTGAAAAGGTATTCAATTTGCTCAGACATTATCATTTGTTAATTTACATGCAGCCAGTTCATTAATTTGTACCTGAGTTGAAACCCATGTATCTTGACTCATGTCAAGATTAATCAAATAAGGTGAGCCTCAAGGACATTTTGAAGGCAGTTTTCTTTGGTGTACAGCGAGTGCTTATTCCTTGGGGGTGCAAGGGAAGGCTGTTTTACCATAGAGGCCATACGCCCTAGCCTGACCTTCCCTTAATCAGACGTCCAAACCATTTTGCTTACAGTGGGGTCATTGGATAATGATTAGCTAACTGAATACAGGCCAAGAATTAAATTTGCATAATTCCATAACTGTGTATCTCACAACTGCTTACTCAATAAACCATTTGAACAGTTGGATATGACAAAACTATATATGTGAACTTGTAACCTTAAATTGAATATGTTCTTGTGTGAAGGTTTTTGCTTTGACTCACAATGGTTATAGCACAGATGGAGGTCATTCAGCCTGTTGTCTATGACAGCTGTTTGCAACAGCAACTCTTCTAGTCCCACTTTCCAGCAGCTTTTTCCCTGTATGTAGCTCTGCAACTTTTTTCTCTCTTCAGTTAATCATTTGTTTTAAAAACACGTTTGAATTGCTGTTGGGATTTGTCAATCTTTTAGCTGAAAGTGGAAATAAAAAGGAACTTTTGCATGTGTGCTCAATTCAGTAGGCAGGATGCGCTTGGATGTACGTGTGAAATTTCCTTTAAATTTGTAAAACAAATTTTGCTTTACAGACGATGTGCTGAGTAAAGATGCTGGAGAATGTGTAATCTGTTTGGAAGAACTTCTGCAAGGAGACACAATAGCTCGACTTCCTTGTCTTTGTATCTACCATAAAAGGTATGTAGGCACTGAAAAGCAATATGCATGCCAAGTACTGAAAAAGTACACTTTTTGAACAGTTGTTTGTTATGTTCTATTCTAAATGTTTGCGTTGCTGAATAATTATGTCATACTAAATGGTATTTTTAAAAAGTATTATAATACTTAGCAACTGGTTCTTTTGCTTATACCTGCCACATTGAGCTTCAGTACTGGGGGGCTCTAAATCTTATGAATCACAGAATGAAAAGTCAGGGTGGAAGTAAAAGGTGAGTGTGAAAAGTAGGTTCTGATTATTGATCACTGTTAAAGCGTTCCAACCAAATTGGCAGATTTTGTTGCATCCTCTTTTAACATGGAAACATACAAGTACAGCCAAAAAAGATTTTAGTAGTACATTTAGGGTAAAAATGCTTTCTGATGCCTTTAATAGAAGCCACTGTTTATTCCTTATTGGACATCAGCTAGTTTATCGGCATAGCTTGACCAAGTGCCCAGCTGGCACCAGGAATCCCAAGAAATCCCAGCAGCGGTCAGTACTGCTGCCTGTGGCGTGTGATTGGGGAAGTAGTGCATCGTTAATGAGGCAGTTTTGAGAAAATAGCATGAAAAATCTCACTTTGGACAGTGTCAAGCTTCTTAGCATTGTTGGATTTCCATTCATTCAGGCAAATGGGGAGTATTCCATCACAATCCTGTCCTGTAGTCGGTGGACAGTTGTTAGGGAGTCAGGAGGTGAGTTACTCGCTGCAGGATTCATAGCCTCTGACCTGTTCTTAGAGCCACTGTATTTATATGGCCAGCCCAGTTCAGGTTCTGGTCAATGATAACACCCAGGATGTTGATAGTGGGGGATATAGTGATGGTAATGCCATTGAATGTCAAGGGATAGTGTTTACATTGTCTCTTATTGGAGATGGGTCATTGCCTATTGCTATGTGTGTTGTGAATGTTGCTTGCCACGTTTCAGCCTGGAGATTGTCCAGGTCTTGTTGCAGTTGGACACAGACTGCTTCATTATCTGAGGAATCACGAATGGTGCTGAACATTGCGCAATCATTGGCAAACATCCCAAACTGTGACCTTATGATGGAGGGAAGGTCATTGTTGAAGCAGGTGAAGATGGTTGAGTCCAGGACACTACCCCGAAGAACTCCTGCAGAGATGTCTTGGAGCTGAGATGACTGACCTCCAACAATCACAGCCATCTTCCCATGTGCTACGTGTGACTCTAAGCACTAGAGAGTTTGCCCCTGGATTCCCATTGATTCCAGTTTTGCCAGGCCTCCTTGATGCTACACTTGGTCGAATGCAGCGATGATGTCAAGGGCTGTCACTCTCACCTCAAACAAGTGATTGGTGGTGGGTTTTTCAAAAAAAAGAGAGGTGTTTTTAACCCAGTATGGAAGTTGCTTTCTGGATAGGTAAATAATTCAAAAGGAAAGGTTGGAACTGGTACTATATTGAACTGTAGTTTGACAGTAAATTAGTTGTAAACCTCAATAGTCCCTTCCACTGATTAATTCACTTTATGGCGATCTGTCTATCAAAATTGGGAGCAGAGGACAGGATTAACCTCTACCTTCAAGTAGAAAGATAGAGAAATTAGAAGGTAATCCTTATTTTTGATAATTAGAAAGAGCTCCCAGCGGCTTTTAAAGTGGACTGGTGGAGTCACGTTGCAGGATCATGAACTATGATTGCCTACCCACCAGGGTTTTTGGAATTGGAGGCATTTGAGCAGTAGAAGAATAAGGTGGATTTGTGGACTTGCGTTACTTCCCTTGCCAAAAAGAAGCAAGGTATGGCTTTGGCTTCACAGGAAGGAGTAAAATTAGTGCTAATGTATTTTCAAAGCTGTATGTAACAGACTTGGATACTGGAAGGGGACTATTGATAATAATTTATGTACAGAGTTTGCAAAACAGGTGACTTGTTGGAAGTCAGAGTCACAGAGATAGAAACAGACCCTTTATTCCAATTCGTTCATGTCAACCAGATATCCTAAATAAATCTGTGCAGTGTGATCAATAATTAATGAATTTTAGAAATTTGGACAATTAGTCCATTAAAGAATATTTCATGGAGTTTGAGTAGTTTTAATGAAGAATAAAGACATTTAATTTAGAAATTCCAAAGTCTGTGCCTGCATTCAAACTATTAGGTTGTGTGCATTTCTTGGCAATGATTTTTGTTTTGAGCAGATGTCTGTTGGGTCTTTAAAAAAAGTTGGGGAGACTGTCGTTTTCCTAGGACATATTGAGAGTGATCAGGGAAAAGAATACTGTGATTACTGCCTCACAAAGTCGAAGGTGGCATAGTCACAGGCACTTGTGTAAGCAAGGAATTGCTGAATAATGTTTTGAGGTGGATGTACCTTTTGATTCATAGATTACTGAATTAAGGAAAAATGTAAGACTGGGGGCATAGTTGACAACAGTAGAATCCCAGAAATCTGTGGGGAATAATGAATAGGTGTTTTCACTTTGACTATGAATATCACAATGTCAGGAATTGTCCAAGAATCAGGAGTCAAGTATTCGAGGCACGTCATGAAGTGGACGGTTCTGAGGGTGAATGTGATCATAAGCAACAAGAGAATATTCTGTTAATGGCTGAAGGCTTAAATCAGCCCATCTTAGAATATCTTATGTACTGACTCATTTTACTATGCCATGCTAGCTCGTGGTTGTACCTCAGCAGTGTGAAGTGATTGGCTGAACTGTCATTTGGGAACCCTGGACCAAGCAGATAAGAATAGAATTGGAGAATACGAAAGTACTCACTGCTTTCAATTCAGAGATGACAAAATGTTACCATCTTCAAAGAGAGTGAGTCTCCCCTGTAAAATTACAGGACTGTGTCATTTCATCAGCGCTGATGTCATTCATAGTGAGAAACCTTTATTAATAAATATGTCTGTTACTGTTAAGGTACTGTTAAAGGATGTCAGAATTGTGGATAAAAAATACCAATCCCTTGTAGAACAAATCACATTGTAATGTTAAATATATATTAAATATGAAGGGTTGTAAATGTTCCTTTACCAGGTATTTAATTAAGTAGTAGCTAAGTTGAAGGTATAGAATACAAATATTTGCCTGTTACATTTTGTAGATATGGCAACCAGTCTACACATCACCATGGTGATAAACATTGAGGACAAACTTGACAGATGATGGAGCTAAATTTGTGAATGACGAGTTTTGGGAAGTGTGAGAGAACTTATAATATTATAGAGTAAGCCCACAGCTTGTGTGAAAGAAACAATGCAATAATTGATGAAATGTTGCACAAAATGCTGGCAGAATAGCCAAACTGTAAGTTACAAATGGTGCAGGCATGGTCAGTACGTGCAGAGATTCTTTACAGGTGATTAAAGGTGTGTAGCCCATACTAATTGGCATCTCCAAAATTGTCTTCAGTGCCAGTATTCGGCTCTGGAAGGAACAATTAGCTAGTAGGAAGCATTCGTAATAGATGGGGCATCAGATAAAATTAGGAATCCATTAAGACATCGCATTAGACTGCCTGGGGAGATTTCAGTTTTGGTGACATAGTTTATTTTGAGAAAGCAGGACACACTGACATGGAAAGAGCCAGGAAACGTTATTGCATGTGTGGGGAAAACTTTCATAATGCAGCATGGGCATTATCCCCATGTCTCGTGATCACCTTTTATGGTCTGAGTTAGGAAATTTCAAACACTAATAAAGTAGGTGATGATGATAAGGCACCATCTACTTTGCATAGCCATGGGTTATATAATTTGGAAGCAGAGAGGCAGGCCTTAAGAACTCAAGAAATACGCATCACGCACATACTGAAAAATCTCATGCAAGATTCATTTGCCCAGAGTAGGCTTTTGGGTGGCATACCAGTTAGCAGAATCAGATTACTGGAGGGAGGGCACAGTAGTGGAATAAGCAGGGATGTCTACACATAAAATATAAAATTGGTTAAATACACAAGATGAGGGACAAGAAATGAGGGCCATGAATTAGCAGCATGCAATACAAGAATGAGAAAACTTAGCACAAATTCGAGTTCTCAATCAGGAGGTAAATCTAAGAGGGAAAAAAATCACAGGATTTCTAGCAGATGTTCTGATATGAATAGTCAGGAGAGATTAAGAGAGAAAAGAGGCCACAGTTGGACAAGGTGATAATGTACAGCCTTCTCAGACAAAAAATAAAAGTAGAATTCCCCGAGATCAAGAGCAATTTGTGCCTACTAATATAAGGTAGGACAATAAAAGAGACTAAACTAAGAGTTACAAAACTGGAAAGAATTTGGTATATAGTCAGAAGTTGATAATAGGACTCGGCCAGCTGTATCACACAGATGGATCTGTATGGAAAAGGTTCCATGAGATGGGACCTACAAAGTCATGAGACATAGGAACAGAATTAGGCCATTCGGCCCATTGAGTCTACTCACTATTGTATCATGGCTGGTATGTTTCTCACTCCTTTTCTTCTGCCTTCTCCCCATATCCTTTCATCCCCTTCCTAATCAAGTACCTATCTTTGTCGTAAAGAAACTCAATGACTTTGCCGTAGAAAGCTGTGGAAGCCATAAGTTCTACAGATTCACCACTCCCTAGCTGAAGAGATTTCTTCTCATCTCACTTCTAAAGGGTCGTCCCTTCACTCTGAGGCTGTGCCCTCGGGTCCTATTCTCTTCTAGCAGAAATCTTCTCCATGTTGACTCTATCTAGGCCTGTCAGTATTCTGTAAGTTTCAATGAGATCCCCCTTGTCCTTCTAAACTTCATTGAGTATGGACCCAGAGCCCTCAACGACGCCTCATATGACAATCCCTTCATTCCAGGATCATTCTTGTAAACTCCTCTGGACCCCCTCCAAGGCAAGAACATTCTTCCTTAGATACGGGGCCCAAAACTGCTCACAATATTCCAAATGCAGTCTGAGCAGAGCCTTATAAGTCCTCAGCAGTACATCTCTGTTGTTGTTTTCTAGCCCTCTTGAAGTGAATGCTAACATTACTTTCCTAACT